ATAGAGTGTATATTTTTGTTCATATAATCCTTTTACAGTGATATTTACTATTAAATATGTATGGTTATTTTTATATAAATAAGTGATGTACATATCAGTGTCCTGAAATGTTAGATTCATGTGCCGTTACTAATACATTATTTTATTAGTAATACAAGTAAAGTCAGTGGTTACTGCAATAGGCAGAGGCAGCAGCAGTCCCTGTCTCCCATCCTACACTTTTTCAGAATATATACGCTTTTGGTAGAATCATGTGCTGACACTATCACATTATAAATTTTCTCTGGTTCTGTTTATTCCCCTCCTGAACACACATGGATGATTCTTGCTATTTAATGCAGACATTAAATAACTGTATACACCACGAACTGGAGACGTGTTTTGAGTGAAAAGCTGTGGATTTGAGTTTGTGTTTTCAAACACACTTCTGAGGTAGAACTTGCTAAGCACTTTCCCAAACTCTTTTTTAAATCCTCTGAGCTCACCATCTCTGAGACTCTCTTGCAATTGGACAGCCATGCAATTGACTTCAGCCAATAAAACATGAGTGGAGGGTGAAACACACAGCCTTCCATGTTCAAGCCTCCATGTTCTTTCTCTATTCCAGCTTTGTGCTGATGAACATGGTAACCTTGAAAAGTGTGTTGAAAGGGGAGAAAGCAAACAAAACACCCTGCAATGTGTGTACCTATGCAACTGTATTGCATGCTCTGCACATGTACCCCAAAACCTAAAAAGCAAAAAAAAAAAAAAAAAAAAAGAAAAGTGTGTTGAATATGGTGGAGCCAGAAAATGCAAGGAGTCTTCTCTGGATCTTAAAGAAGAGCCACTCGCTACTCAGGAACCCCTATTTTGGACTGAGGTAAGTTAAAAAAAAATTTAATGTATCTTTACTTAAAATCACTGAGATAAAGAGGTTTATTTGTTATAGAAACAAGCATTGCTTTATCTACTACTCTATTTGTATGACCTTGCACAAGCTATTTAACCTTTCTGTGTCATAGTCATTGTTTCTCCCATCGTGGGGTCCCTCCCAACATAACCAGCTCATACATTTGAAAGAGGTTATTGAGGAAAGTTCAATTAAGAGACTATTTACAAAGATGTGGGCAGAACTAAGGGAAACTCACAAGGGAGGGTGAAGAATCCCAGGATTAATGGCAACAGAGACCCATTTTCACTCTAAGCCTAAGGATTCCAGACACAGGGAGGAAGCATTTACTGAAGGCCCGGGAGATGTTAGAGCTGAAAGCAAAAGCTTCCTGAAGGGAGCTGCAACTTTCAAAGGAAGATTGCCGCCAATTTAAGGCCTAACAGGAAGGAATTAAAAGCAATTAAAAATCGGAAGTCCAGACATTTGCTTTCCAATCCTCCTGCTAGTAAGTCTCATTGCCTAAACCCAACTAGAAGCCAGAGGTCAAGGAGCTCATTTATGTAGTTTATACAAGTCATCTTCCTAAGGTGTGGGCCAGGTATAGAGGGTAGAGGAATGACAAACAAGGGACACAAAAGGAATTTCAAGCACAGTTTTTTTTTAACCCACAAATTGCAATTCTTAGCTTCTACCTTATGGAGGCTGCCTGGAGCTATGGGCTACCATATACTAACACCTAACAGGGAAACGAAGATAATGAGCTCTAAATAAAATACAGCTTTTAATATTCCTCTTTGCCATCTGCTGTGAAACCACTGTCCATCGATTTTTTTAAAAAAATTTTCCGGCCGGGCGCGGTGGCTCAAGCCTGTAATCCCAGCACGTTGGGAGGCCGAGGCAGGTGGATCACGAGGTCAACAGATGGAGACCATCTTGGTCAACATGGTGAAACCCCGTCTCTACTAAAAATATAAAAAATTAGCTGGGCATGGTGGCGCGTGCCTGTAATCCCAGCTACTCAGGAGGCTGAGGCAGGAGAATTGCCTGAACCCAGGAGGCGGAGGTTGCGGTGAGCCGAGATTGTGCCATTGCACTCCAGCCTGGGTAACAAGAGCGAAACTCCGTCTCAAAAAAAAAAAAAAAATTCCACCGAGTATTTTTTGTGTTTGTGTGTTGGTTTGTTTTAATGTCCCAGCTAACTCTTAATGCCAGAAATTTAATTCCAGAATGAATTTAACTCTGGTGCTTCCTGGAGACTGGCATTTATTTCTCCATGATTTGTGTTTGTCCACAGGTGGGGCTTGAGAAACTATCTAGTTTCAGAGTCCTTGGAAGATTCTTCCTTCTTAGCCTCAGTCACTCATTGTTATATTCAGGGTCACGTTGCCAGGAACTTCCCTTCTTCCTGCTGCAGACAACAGCCATGTCTAAACCACCCTGCTACCTGACTGCCTGAGTTTCATTACTTCATATTTTATGCCTGCTTTGGGGTTTTTATTGGATAGCATTACCTTATCATGAGTGGGAGAAGTGGGTCTTTCCTAACAAGTGAGGAGAGATTAGCATCCTGTGAGGCAGGCTGTGTGTAATAAAGAGAATCCAGGGTTCTAATCCCTCCTCTACCCTTTACTTGAAAAATTGTGACCTTGAAAACTACTTTTCTTTCTCTGAGACTTGGATTTCTCATCTACAAAATGGAAGGCTCACTGTGCCTGTCTTCCTGGGTAGATGTGGCACAGTGAGACAATGAAATATGTATGCATAAAAGTGCAGGCATTTTCCTTGACATATGGCAAGTGTTCAGAAATTCTTATAGAAAAATAAAAAATCTCTGAGGTCCAGTGGAGATCCTTGACCTTTTGATTATACTAGAGCCAAAAATGAAGCTGATAGGTCCAAAAAAGTTCAGTCCTCCTAGGCAATGAAGTGTCCTTCTTATTCTAATTGATGCCCTTTGATTTTAAGTGTTACTGAAACATTTTTCTAGGGTAAATTGAGTTCACAGATGTCAAGTCTATTCCCTGTGATTCCTCAGTAGTAAGATGGGAGGAGAAAAAAAAATCACATTGAAACATACCTTTTGCATAGAGCAATGTAAAAAACACACATTCAAAGATGCAAATGCCAAGAACAGAAGAGCCTCAATTTCTGGGAATCCTTTGGCTGAATGCTGACACTTTTTCTATTTTTCCACGTGTGACATATGGCACCCTCCTTTTTCTGAGTATTTCTGGAATAGCTTGTCATTTGGTGAGTCTGGGATCCAGAATCACTTGAGTTAGAACAGAACAGCCGCGAGCCTAAACTCCAGCCCTGTCTTTTGCTTTTGGGAGTTACTTGGCAAACCTCTTGCACCTATGGAATAAACATCATAATGTCACTTATCTCAGAGTTTGTTTGAAGATTAGAAAAATAATGTCAATGAAGTCCTTAATAGATGTGCTTAAGAAAGAAAGTTCAATAGTGGTAACAATGATTGTTGGAAAGGCACAATTATCACATCATATTTGATCTAGGAAAAAGTCTAAGGCAATGTAATCCAATGCTTTCACTTTATGTCTAAAGAAACTGAGGCTTAGGAAGGGTGGTTAGGACTCATCAAAGGCCACTCCATTAGTTTGTAGAATCCAGGTTTCTTGATCTCCACGGGGACTTTCCTAGCCATAGAATCATCATTTTATATAAAAGTGTCACCAATGAGCAAATAGCAGAAAGCCAAACCATGAAGAAATTTATGACAGTCTTCTGACTTAGATGCCATCTGCAGAAAACTTGGGCAAGTCTCCTGACTACCACTGGTATGCCTCATCACTAATCCCTGTTGGGTTTCAGAATGCCCTGGAGATTCTGTTGTCATTTGATTCATCAATTGGAAAATGAGTCTCAGTTTTTGGCGATGCAGTTTCATAGCAAATTTGGAAAGATGTGATGATTACCTTCTGTTTCATGGCTAACTGGTGCTAGTCCTGGGTAAATTGGTGCACATCTTTGAATCAAGGCTCATGAATAAGTGCGTTATTACTGAGTGGACTTAAGTTCCTAATGTTCACTATGAATAATGAGTCTATTGTAAATCTTAATGCATATTATGTTCTTTTAAAAACAAATTATTCAGTGCAGGGTGTGATGGTTCACGCCTATAATCACAACACTTTGGGAGACCGAGATGGGTGGATCACCTGAGGCCAAGAGTTTGAGACCAGCCTTACCAACATGGTGAAGCCTCGTCTCTACTAAAAATAGAAAAATTAACCAGGTATGGTGGCGGGTGCCTATAATCCCAGCTACTTGGGAGGCAGAGGCAGGAGAATTATTTGAACCTGCGAGGCAGAGGTTGCAGTAAGCCAAGATCACGCCACTGCACTCCAACCTGAGCTACAGAGCACGACTGTATCTCGAAAAAAGAAGAAAAATTTATCCAGGCAGTGGCTCATGCCTGTAGTCACAGTACTTTGGGAGGCCCAAACAAGAGAATCACTTGAGCTCAGGAGTTTGAGACAAGTTTGGGCAATATGGCAAAACCCTATCTCTACTAAAAATACAAAAACTAACCAGTCTCATAACCTGGTCTCAAAAAAATAAGTAAATAAAATTTAAAAAATTAAATTAAAAAATGAATTATCTGTATCATGGAGAATGGTGAATGCTCGCATTTTTGTGGAATGTGTGAGGGAATGGTGAGGAACTGGGACTCTGCCTTTAGTGGTCAAAAGAAGTTCTGTACCAGGACAAATAGGATGTCTTGACGAAAAACTGCTGCTACCGCCAAGTAGCACTCTAGGAGAAGGTAAAAAGGAGGGGAAAAAAACAAGCACTTATTGAATACTGACTAGGTGCCACACACTTTACCACACTTAAAAACTTATTACTCAATATGTTGCTTTTCATTGAAAGCTCTGTGACCATATGGCTCTATGTGTCATATTCTCACTAGTAATGAACACAGTGCCTGAAGCATTATTAAATGTTTGTTGAATGAATCTGTTAGGAACTCTTCAAAAGTAATCTGCTACACGATGGGGCAACCTTCTTCTCCCCTTGCCACCTCTCCAATATGTGTCTGAATCAGAACACCAACGTCACAGACACACATGTACAGAACAATTCCTGATTCTATTCTGTTTCCATCATGCCATGCTGCCACTTCTCCATCGGGCCATCTTTACTTCTGTAGTAAGGCATATAGTTACTGGTTAGAGAAACTGGATTCCAGAATTGGGATATGAGTTGGTTAGGGAACTTAAATGTTCTCCTTCAGTCTTGCTCAAAGTCTCATGCTTATTTGTAGTTCTTGAGTGTTTCCGATAAGATAGATATGACTTTACATTTAGACTCCCCCACTTGTTATCCTGCCAACGCTGAGTCTCTTTACTCAGGGTAATAACCAGCTGCTCGTCTGTTGTGAGGTTTGAGTAAGATGTGTGTAATTTTCTCACTAGACAGTAGCTATTAATTATGGTTTATTATAGTTATCATTAGCTTCTGTCCCTTTAGTCCTGACTAAACTATTTCAAATGTCATCTGAAGAAACTGTATTATATTGGGTGGGGTGTACGTGTGTGTGCGTGCGTGTATATGTACCATCATTTTTAAAGAAGCAAAAAAGGTGTTTGGCCAGTTACTTAGATTGTTTATTTCTCACAAAATGAAGTAAAGTCCCTATTTTCTCATTTAGCAGAAAAGTGAAATAGAAGGTTAATAGGTTGGCCCAAGCCTCACAGCTGGTAAGTATAGCTACCTAGATTTGAACCATGGGAATTGTTTGAGATGGTGCTCTGCTTTATTTAATCTGTTCAGACAATGGCATTGTGGGCTCATAGGGAGACAGGCCAGATTTTGTGACCTGAATGTCTACTTGTTTGACTATGTGGTACAACTAACTATTGTGAATCCACTAAATAAGTCTTTATGTTTAATTTAGTTTAGTGCAATAATAATTTTTAGGGATATTACAGGCCAGGCGCTGGGATAGATAATGAGGTACAGTGGGGTGAAGAGGGCAGGATGGAAATGCTGAGGTGCAGAAGGGTCATAAAGCCCATTGTAATGTTCCAATTTTGTCTCTAGATAATGACAAGCAGACAGTACCACACTGGTAGCAAACACGAGAGACTTGCAGCCCAGGGGCTCTGATGTTGATGGAATTCCCGATGAAATTGAGTTTGGTGATTATAGAGTTGACCTGCTTGAAATAAAGATACCACAGTAGAACAATTTCCTTGGTTCTGCCATTTCATTTATCACCATTGTTTGTCTTTGTTGTCACTATTAACATCAATTATTAATCCTAATGCTCATTTTCCTTCCTAGCCTTCTTTCCTGTCTGACATGTGGAATCTCTTGCTATTAAATTAAGAGGCAGGTGGAGACATTAGTCCTCCTTAGGTCATTGGCCATTGTTTCTTCTGAACCAAGGGTTTTTTTTTTAGTGGGGCAGGAAAATTGAAAAAATCTATTCCAAGTGGCATAAAGACTGGTTTCTTTGCTCTGTACAAATTATCTCAGTATCACTTAAGCAGCTATTTCTCTGAGGTTGGATTTCAACTAGAACCATGACAGGGGGATGCAGAGAAAGTGGCAAATAGGTTAAATCTAAAGCAGGTAGAAATCACAACACTTGGGGTGGCAGAAACAGCTAGCTGCCTCCCAAGGTCTGCTCTCGCTTTCTGTCTCAGTAACCTAACCTCATTTTTCATAGGCTAGCAGGCCATCCAGCTAAGAAACTATGTTTACTAGTCTTCCATGGTACTAAGTTGTGGCCAATGAGAATTAGCAAAAATATAATGTGAAGCTTTTGGGAAGGCTGCTTAAAGGAAGCGGAATTAATGGGAACTCGCCCTTCCTCCTAAGGCCGTTGCCTTTTTCCTTATAGCCTACAACATAGATGTGATGTTAGCACTCCAGAAGCCATCTTGAACTGTGAGTCAATGTTAGGCGAAAGCTACAAGTGAGATGGTGAGGCAAAATGAAGAAGCTTGGACCCCAACGGCCATTATTTCACCACATCATGTTCAGACTTCAGACCTTTGATCTTCTATTATAAGAAAGATATTTAAATATACAAGTTATTTCAATCATTGATTTTTTTTTTTTTTTTTAGAATTTTTGTTACATGATGCTGGTTCTCACCCTAAAAGATAAGGTTGGAAGTGGCTAGGTGGCGTAGAGGGAGTTGAAGATGTTGAGAAAAAGAAGAAAATCAGAGAAGACTCCCAGGCTCTTTGGGTGGTGGTCTGATTCACCAAGAAATAATACACAAAAGAAAAAGCAAAATTAGAATAGAAGAGAATTAATATAGTTTTATAAATTTTAAGGTAGAAGGGGCTTCAGGACATTTAGGAGTGGGAGTCTTACAGGCAGGTGGATATACATGTTAGGTGTTATAATAAAATATTAAGAAAGGAGATACAAATTTGGCCATAACTATCATATATGTCATACGTAAAGCTACTGTAGTATATCACTTAGACGGTGTTGAGAATTAACATAGAGAAGCTGGGTGAGCTTACTCTGGGCAAAGGAGGGTAATATACATCTAGGTAAGCATACAATGGATTCCAGTCAGGATGCAGTAAATACAACATTAATGATCCACTTAATTATTCTTCTCCTAGGAAGTACCAATTTGATAGAGTAGCAGATAAGCAAAATTTTAAGTAATTAGCGCGTGTTTTTAAGAGATCCAAGGCAGAGACTACTGCCAAACAGAGGCACAAATCGCCAAGAGATAACTAGCATTGCCCCAGTAAATTGATAGAATTTCAGCCACATCAAAGCTTGGAGATGTCTGAACCTATGTGTCCTAATCATAGGCATGTATGTTATTTCCACAGGAGTGGCAAATTATTGAAATGGACTAACGAATTTCCCCTAACATCTTTGAGTAATAGTAAAGTAGCGGACAAAGCATGGATCTAGGAATTTTAGTTGAGACTGAGTATGTTAGTTCTAACGGTTTCTACCTCTATTATCCCAGCTTAACCATCTCAGGCCCATTTCCTCATGGGAAAACGCAGTCATGTCCCTACTTCATGGTGCTGGTGTGAGAAACGTGGCATGATATATTTTAAGTGCTGGAATGGTACCTGGCACATCAGCCACTTGTAATTCCTCATCTCATCTGGTTAACAAAATGTTAAAGTCCCAGGAATCTGGGGCTCATTTTATACATGCTTTCAGTTTGAAGATGCTATTATCATAGGATTTTCTTGACCAGAAGAGAAATAACTTTAATAAAAAAATTTAAAAAGGAATGAAATGGGGGTAGGGCTGGCATATTGCACAAGTCCATGGGATGCTATTTACACAATATTGAGGCAAACAGCTGCCTTGGAATTGGCCACTGTTAAGCCTGTATAACTGTATGCATCGACCCTGTTTGGAAGCTATCTCTTAAAATGTTCTGAATAATAATGTCTGTTATCTTTTAAAATAAGAAAAGGTATGGTCAGCCAGGCATGGTGGCTCACATCTGTAATCCCAGCACTTTAGGAGGCCGAGGAGGGCGGATCACCTGAGGTTGGGAGTTTGAGACCAGCCTGACCAAGATGGAGAAACCCATCTCTATCAAAAACACAAAATTAGCCAGGCATGGTGGCCCATGCCTGTAATCCCAGCTACTCGGGAGGCTGAGGCAGGAGAATTGCTTAAACCCAGGAGGTAGAGGTTGCGGTGAGCCGAGATCACACCATTGCACTCCAGCCTGGGCAGCAAGAGCCAAACTCTATCTCAAGAAAAAAGAAAAAGAAAAAGAAAAGATATGGTGGCCATGGGCTTTGTCTTTCGCTGTCTTTAGTTGCCGCTGGACTGCTCAAGGCCTCTTCAGAGCCTCACCTTCCCTGTTCTCTGACACACACTTAGTACTTTCTCTTTGCTGAGTTTTGCTTTCTCTTTTTTGCACATGCCACTCCCTTATTCTGGAATTCTATCCTAATTTGGCTTTCTTGTGTATCTCTAATTTTCTTTAAAGAATTGGCTCAAATGTTGCTCTTCTGGGAATATTAACGTGTTCCCTCTCTGTACTGAGGTGTTGCCTTATCTTTGCCATTGTTTTTATTTTTAAGCCTAGGCTCCTCAGCCTGCTCTAGGAGGCTCAGTACAGTGATTATTTCTTCTGCTGTGTCTCTAGTCACTTTCCTCCTATGGTACACCCACTCTGTTCATATTGAATACACTCTGTTCACATTGACTTTAGGCTTAATTTGAGCCAGGATGAGAACTTCTTGCCATGATTGGGGCCTATTTCTGGAGAAGAGCATGTATAATCCTGCTCATGGGTATATAGTATGAACACCCCTTCTTAGCCCTGTCATATGCTTCACGTTTTAAAACCTCTAGACTTGTGATATCAACTAGTCACATGTGGCTATTTAAATTGAAATTAATTAACATTAAATAAGAATTTAAAATTCAGTTTCTCAGTTGCACTATCCACATTTCAAGTGCTCAAGAGTCACATGTTGCTGCTGGTTACCATATTGGAAAACACAGAAATAGTAAATTTCCATTAGTGCAGAAAGTCCTTCTTTGTTTGAAAGTCTTGCTCAGTTACCAAGGCTAGAGTGCAGTGGCGTTGTCTCTGCTCACTGCAACCTCTGCCTCACAGGCTCAAGCAATTCTCATCCCTCAGCTTCCCAAGTAGATGCGACTGCAGGTGTGCACCACTGCACCCAGCTAATTTTTGTATATTTAGTAGAGACAAGGTTTTGCCACGTTGGCCAGGCTGGTCTTGAACTCTTGGCCTCAAGTGATCCATGCGCCTCGGCCTCCCAAAGTTCTGGCATTAAAGGCATGAACCACTGTACTCAGTCAGCACAGAAAGTTCTATTAGACAGTCCCGCACTAGACTTTTCAAATTTTTGAGAGAAAAGGTAGCTTTTTTTCTCTTGTTACTCATAATGTTGTCCCAGGACTAGCAGCAGCTGTATCACTGGTTGCTTTTACAAAATTGCAGAATCTCACAGCTACTAAATCAGGACTACCGAGTCAGAACCTGCATTGTATAAAGATCCTCAGATGATTTGCATCTGAAGGGTTCATGCCCTTGGATGTCACGCATGACTGCCTTAAGGATCACTAACTTCAGCTCCCTCTCTCCAGATATTTTCAAGGTTTTCAAAATGTCTGCACAATGAAAGCTCTCGAAGGGCCTTAAAAACTGTAGATATTTGGTTTCGCCCTCAGAGTTTGTGATATAATTGATTTGAAGCATGGTTTTGGTACTGGGAGCTTGAAACTATTCCCAGGTACAGCCAGGCTTGAGAACCACTGCTTTAGAAACAAGACAAAGGCTCAGAGAAGGAAAGTGATGGATATAGGTCACTAGTCATAGCTTCCCTTTTTCCCTAACTTGGAGTCTAGTGCTCATTCTGCTACACCATACAGTCTCACCCTCAATGGCCTAAATTCTGGAGAAGCACTCTGGACTGATGAAATTTTTTCCTCCATCTTTCTCCACTTGAAGCAATCACTCTGATATCCCCTAGTGGAGCTAACACAGGGACTGCACCGTAATTGCTTGTTCGTGTCACATTGGTAGCTGATGGATTTGCCATCTACAGAAGCCTGCCTTTCGCAGCCAGTGCCGGGTGTACAGGGCTTGCCACTCTCCTGGCGTATATCAATACTCTATTATGGAAGCAACCGGCTGGCAGACACCATGGGGGCCTCACCTTTTGCCTTTAGGTGTACTGGCTCTGCAAACCAGAGTCGTGAAGGCTGTGGGTGAGGGAGCCACTAATGAGCCCAGCAGAGCCCAACCATGCCACTGTGGCAAGTCTGCATGCAGGGGGACAGCAGCACTGGCCATTGCCCTGCACATTAAGAAGGCCAGCAGGCTAGGCATGGTGCATCACAGGGACAGAATGGACCATGTCCCTATGATGTCCAGTCAGCCACATCTTCCCCTGCAGTCAGCCTCAAATGTGCCCTGTAAGAAACTGCTGGAAAAGCAAAAGAAAACAGAATTCACAGACACTATCCATTCCCTCTGGCCACCCTCTTTTTCTCTCTCTGAATTTTCCTCACTGCAGGTAAAATAGAGCAAAGGGCAGAAATGCAGCAATCATAACAACGATAATAACCAGTAGCCTATTTTTATTGAGAGCTTAGAATGTTCCCGGAAGTCGGCTAAGTTCTTTCATTCATTTTATTATTTAATTCTCAGAACAATACTATATGTTGGAGGCAGATTTTACCAAGGAGG